ACCCTGTGTCCATAATTACAATTTGAAAGAACTTGGGGCAGTAAGACAAGACTGATTTTCTTTGGAGCTCTTTTTTGCCACCTAAGTTGTTCTTGAATTCAAATGTTCCTCAGCCCATCCACTGGTGTGTGCACAATATTCCCTATGTCAAAAGAAAAAACATCAAGATGCACAAAAGTAGTGTTTGAGCTCTACCTCTGCAGAGGTGGTCACTCATAGATTCCTAAACTTCCTTGAAATCACAAATTCTTTTTTGATATAAATATTGCAAGGGGTTTTTTTATGATCCTCCAAATCCTGAGGATGGGGAAGGAAGCAGTCTAGAAATTGTTATGCAGGGTACTGGAGCTCAAATGTTCCAGTTCCTTCAGAGAAAAAAAAGAGAATTTAGATGTACAACTTCCTCAACTAGCGGGAATCAACAGGCTTTTATGAGAAGTGGATGTCATCAGTTCATCTTCATTCTGTAGCTACGGCTTTTTAAACAAAAGTAATTCTTGCTCTTTTCTTTCTTAGAACAAATCCCCTCAAAAAATAGGTAGGGAAATAGTTATTAGGTAGACAAGACATCATTCCACAACAGTAAGGAGTTGTGTAGATGGGTTTCAAACAAGAAAATAGGTTCAGACCTAAGTTCTCTCAGATATTCCTATGGGTTAGCAGCAGCTTACCAGAATGTTCAGTGGGGTTTTTTTAACCTCTCTAAATGGTATGGAAAGCATACACAACCCTGTTTTTATTTTCATTATTTACTTATCCCAGGCAGGGAGATGGAAGGGTAAATAAGTAACATTTACACAGCACAGCACTGGATCTGCAAAAACCTATGACTTTTTATTGGGTGTAGTCCACAAGTCAAACCAAGCAGATGGCAGCATGGGCAAAAAAATGCAGAAAATAAAAAAGTTTTGTTATTGTAAACTCTGAGTAGAAATGTCTCATTAATAATCAAGAGAACTTAAAATAAACTGGCTTAGCAGAGTCTGGGGGAAAAAAAGTTGAAAGTAAAGAGTAATCCTGAAATCATTAGCATATATATTCAAAACAAGTGAGTAGTCTTTCCAAAAAGATAGTTTAGACTTGTGTAAAAGACAAAAATAAACATCTCCACTGGGAGGTAACTTACTCAATAAAAGGCCACTTAAAGCTTATAGAACTAGTCTGATATGGAATTTGTATAAGATAAGCTAAGTAAGTAACTGTACTTACTGTGTAAAGCTCATTGAGTACTTTCATTAAGTCTTCATGAAGCTGAAATGAAATCTCTTTGCTCTGTAATTAAAAGGAAATCATTAGAAAAAAGGCACATATAAACTGCAGCATACATTTGCTTCTTGATATTCGTACTCATTGTTCATCCTAGACAGTGAATGCAATGTTGCTCACAAAGACCATTACAGCATGCTGAAAAGAGTTATTCAGGGTTGCAGAGGTAGACAGATAACATCTGCACAGAGGACTTCTAAAAGGAAACCCAGAAGTAATTCAAGATACTTTTCCCATAAAGCATCAGGAAATTAGGTGCCAACAGAAAGGGTCAAGTTCAAGATTAATGTTTTTAATGGAACAAACTGTGTTCTGTTTCGTAACTATGACATATACAAAAACTAAACCATGCAGAAAGTGATATTCTAGAGGGACATCCTGCCCAATTTTACATCTAGGATAGTCTTTGTTTCTCAGCACATGCAACTATCTAAGTATTTATGCAAGAAATAATTGTGGCTCCTCTTTGAAACAGATACCCAACTGCATGATATTCCACAGAGTGGGCTACTAAACCAGTTTTGTCTAGCTTTTCTGGACTGTGCTTTTATTTTTATTCTGACCCAGAAAAAACAAATGACTAGCAGTAGTTATTATCAAAGCAAATATGTCAAAATAAGAGTATTTAATTGGAGTCTCATCCAAACACATTGTTTGTTAGTTGTACACAGCAGTTCAATCTGATGAAAATTGTGGCAACTGTGCAAGAGTTGAAGGTATTTGTATCACAGCCTTTGGAAAACAGTTACAGAACAGAGCTAAGGGACTTGGCATACAGCCTGGCTACATTTCTGTGATGCTCAGCATTGTAACATCCATGCTGGAAATGTCAGATTTTTTTTTCTGTGAATAAATTGATAATTAGCCTGGCTTCTAAAAACTCAGCTTCTTGATAGATAATGGACTTTGCTATGAGAAAGACTTTGTATTTGTACAGAAGACAAAGGAAAGTCCTCAGGGACAACTCACTTCTAAATCTATTTGCCCATCACTAAAATACCTGCAGGAATAATGGTTTCCAGCACAATGCCCACTTACAAGGAGGAACCATACCATACATCCCACCCACTGTGTCTTCCAGGAGAATGAAACAGACACATACAGCAGCTGGAACACAAATTTTACTTTTTCGCCTATTCCTACTGTCATACTCTAACTCTGGGCAGCATTTTAAGGTAGCGAACATATCACTTATCAGTATTCATTCCAATCCTTATATGCAAGATGATTTTTCACTGACAAGAAACTAGGAATATGATTTAAAAAACACTTCAATTAAATTCTTGTATTCCCAAGGGCATCAGCTGTAAAAGCTAAGGTACAGTAAGACAGCTGCTCTGAAGCTGAGTTACACAGAAGTACTATGCAACTTTCGTTATTGCTTATACTTCTCAAAGCCTGGAATTTTTCATGAGGCATGCATTATTACTGAAGTATCTAGAACATCAGGCTTACTACCTCCATTCCTTTGAAAATATCAGATTTTTTCATCTAACATTAAGGACAAAATTTCATATATGTAACAGTACATAGAGTGCTTGGAAAGAATTAGAAAGGGACTGCAGATTTGCAAGTTGCTGTAGGGAAGTGCAGTAAGGCCAGAAGAACTAGGAAGGTCAGTAGTTGGCTGAAACAATGGTGCCAGAGTCAAGGCTTTGGGTACTCTGACCTTGGGGTATACACAGGCAAGCCTGGTCTGAATGGGACTGATGGGGGTCACTGGATGAAAAACGGGAAAAGTATCTTTGCTCAGGGGCTTTGCAAAACTTGTAGAGACAGCTTTAAACTAGACCTGTTCGAGGAGGGGAACACCTCTTCATCCTGATCCTACAGGTTTAACGTCACCATCTATAATGGATGCCCAGAATAGAGCAACGTCACTGGTGAGACTCCAGCCAGCGTGTTGGGTTCAGCTGGGGACTGGCTCAAATGTCTCTACACCAACGCATGTAGTATGGCAACAGACAAGAGGAACTACAGATGAGCATGTGCCTGTGCAGATATGACATTGTGGGTATCACAGAGACGTGGTGGGATGGCTCCTATGACTGGAGTGTTGGAATACAAGGGTTTAAGCTTTACAGGAAAGATAGGCTGGGGAGACGAGGAGGAGGAGTAGCCCTATATGTCAATGAACAACTGGAAAGTGTGGAGCTCAGCCTAGGGATAGATGAAGAATTAGTCGAGAGTCTGTGGGTCAAGATTAAGGGCAGGCTTGGAGCAGGGGATGTTGTAGTGGGAGTCTGCTACAGACCACATGGTCAGGAGGAGGGTGTGGATGAAGGCCTCTATAGACAGATGTATTTAGCCTCAAGCTCATAAGCCCTAGAACTCATGGGGGATTTCAATCACCCCAATACCTGTTGGGAGAGAAACATGGCAGTGAATAAGCAATCCCAGAGGTTCCTTAAATGTGTTGATGATAACTTCCTTACACAGATGATAGAGGAACCAACAAGGAGAGGAGCTGTGCTGGACCTTGTGCTCACCAACAAGGAGAAGCTGGTGAGGAACACGGTGCTCCAAGGCAGCCTTGGCTGTAGTGACCATGAGATGGTAGAGTTCGAGATCCTCAGGGCGGTGAGGAAGGTGCACAGCAAGATAACTGTACTGGACTTCAGGACAGCAGACTTTGGCCTCTTCAAGGGCCTTCTTGGCAGAGTCCCCTGGGATGAAGTCCTGTAAGGCAGCGGGGACCAAGACTGCTGGCTGATATTCAAGGATTCAAGCTCAGGACCAATGTATCCAGACATGGAGGAAATCAGGCAAAAATGCCAGAAGGCCTCAGTGGATGAATAATGAAGTGCTGAGGAAACTCAAGGCGAAAAAGGGGCCTTTAGGAGGTGGAAGGGAGGACAAATGGGCTGGGAAAAACACAGAGAAGCTGTAAGAGAAGCTAGAGACAGTCAGGAAAGCTAAGGAACAGTTGGAATTGAGGCTAGCCAGGGACATCAAGGATAGGATAAGAAGATAACAAGATAGGATAACAAGATATAGATAACAAGAAGGGCTTCTACAGGTAT